CCCCCCCCCCCCCCCCCCATGCTGCCGCGAAAAGCTTCGGCGGCACTAACCCTCGGACAATGTCCCCTGCCACAGAAATATTGACAACATTCACTCCGTGTTCCTTCAGTGGTAACAGTGATACACCTGTAAAGGCTCAGTGAAAGAGCTGGATGCCAAAATTTATCTATGGTTCCCGGGTCACCGTCAGCCTTGCTGTATACATGGCTCAAGTGATGGGGAGGGCTGGCCAGGTCGAGAAAAACTCCGAAGAATCACAAAGTCAAGCGGAAGAATAAGCACGGTGTGAAGATGGCCAAAGTTGACCAGGAGACCCCTGCACGGGTCAGAAAACGCTTCACAAGGTCACCCAAAAATACTTTCACAGCAGGGGAGCCAAAGATGGGACCCCGAGGTTAACAAAAAGGCTTCAGGACAGATATTAGCCTTTTAACAATAATACATTAACAAAGGGAAAATGGGGGACCGAAAATCTCTCCTTCGGATCGATCCCTTCAAACTCCCGGAGGCGGCGTGCTTCTGCCTGGCAGAGCTGGAAGATTACCGGCTCCCTAGCCCCTAATCGCCCCTAATCTCGAAACTCTTTCATGGAACCCCGAATCTTCAGGTTCACGCAAAAAGAAAGGAAGAACATGTTGTGGAGATGTCTGATAGTTGACGACATTTGAGATCGCACCGGGAAGATGGCAAACGAAATTATAGTATTCTGTCTACCCTTCTTGGGAGGAGAGAGAATACAATGATGCACCCGAATTAGAGGCCACTGACTGTAAGGATGGGGCCTTTCTGCATTTCTGCTTCTCAATCAGGGCTTGGGAACCCTGCTTCGGAATGTCAGCAATGACGGATCCTCCTCTACGCTTGAAACGCTTGAAATGTAGGATCTCTCGTGCAAGGACCCCGACTAGTCTCTTCGTGTTGCGCTCCCTCACACCAAGATGAACAAGGTACTAAGTTTGTGGCCCCTCCCACTTCGGAAAAACACACGATCACACCTGGCCTCGTCGGGGAGGGCGTCGGCAAGGCTTTGCTGCTTCTTGCGTGCGAGGCCCGGTCGAGCAATAGTGCCTTTGAGTTTTGTTGACATGCTGGTCGTTGAACAACTTGCTCAGATTTAGGGCTTTTGGGCACATCACTTATACTTTATGCTGCACACCACTTCCGTACATGGCCTTTCGAAAAACGGCTGGGACAGAAACATGCTTGGGAAGATGCAAGCCGTGAAGAGCGATGCTCAATCCACAACATGTCTGGCATTTTCCGTTAACTCACAATGAGCTTGTTGCTTTGTCACGCGGGAAGGCATAAGCTTGCTGGAAACATCCTTTTCCAGCAGAGAATATCTTCATCTAGCGGGCACTTCATCTAGGCCGCGGCCGCACACGTGCTCCGTGCTATTTACATCTCAGGTTCTGCAGGAACCTTACCATACTTTATCTCTGGAGCACTGGAACCTGTAAGACATCACCATCGTTATCATCGTCACAACTTGAACCCTAGTCTAGACCCCCACCCTTAAACCTAATTTCAGGTGCACTGACGCAGGCTTTTGTTTGGTCTAGGAGCAGCCCTGGAATGATTTTGTGTCGTCGAAGGTAGCAAGGCCACTTCGACGACTGCGACGGCTCCAAAAGGCATCTTCCAGTGTCCTGGGTTCTGGCGAAATTGAGTGCTTAGGAGGTTTGGGGTTTCGGGCGGATATTTTAGGACTGAGGCTGTGCATGGTTGCGCCCCGGCGGCCCCCCCNNCCCCCCCCTCCCCCCCCCCTCCCCCCTCTCGCAATGGTATCCCAGCCCTGACGAATTTCAGGGCTCAGGGCTCAGGTGCTTCCGCTGTCCCGGTCGACTCAGCATTGCAAGACCCTCCACAATGGGCTGATGTATTTTTGAGATAAGAGAAGCGGATTCTCTGCAGCTGCATGCAACCAGGCAGAGGCGCGGCAAACTTATCACTACTTGCCAAGGATCTGCAGGTCATACCCCCAGAAGTTGACGAGAGGATGATCTTTGTACATGCCTGGCATCACAGAGGGAGGCAACCACAGAGAGTGGGCGCAGAAAGGACCGACAGAAGCACCAAGTATCTTTCGATGTGAGATCTGAGACTTCGGCTCCAAAGGCTCGGCTCCGTACATGTCGCGTAAGAGCCCCATACACTGCAAAGCCCCTCATCACCACTTTCCGGAAGCAATAGAGCGGCACCTGACTGCAGTTCTGCGACCATGGCGTTGAAGACTTTTGCAGACGGCTGTACGACTCGGGCGGCATTGTTTAGCCGCGTCCTGCAGGGTCGCTGTTGCTGATCCAGTCCACACATGCCAGGTTAGGCAAGTGAAGACGCCTGACGTCGGAGCCTGACAATTCCATGATTCCTTTGCCCTGTACGCCTCATGATTTAGCAGCTAGCATACATTCGGAACTGAAAACCGATCTGAAATGCTGAGCCAACGTCATCGGATTCAATTCTGGGAGTCCGGAGCTCTAAACCGCGGGCCCCGGCTTCGGAACTTCCGCTCGGCTTTCGGTAGCTTTCGTTCAGACAGGTGTCAGCTTGTTTCTTTGAGGATGCTGCCATTCAATACTGGTCAGACCTTTGAGATATTGACATGAATCTTCGCGGATTCATGTAGACTACATTCCAACCGCTGCGTTGCCAACAGTGTCCTCTGCCCGCCATCGTCCAACGCATGACCGATGGGTGTCGGGTCGTGGGACATGGCGAAGACCGGGATGCTAAAGAGCTCATCCGCTGGCTTCAGCATCAGCATATCCTTGCAAAGCGCCATAGAGCACAAACCTTATGCACGGGCTGCACGGGGTGTCTCAATAATCATCCATCTGGGCATACGCATTTTCCGAAACGCAGAGATCTCGGCCGGCCTGCATGGTAATCATTCGCAACACCCTAACAGTACCACAAGACGACAAGAACCATCATCATGCACCATCATCATCATCATCATTATCAACACTACCACCACCATCATCGACAGGGTCCATCAAGTGTCACAGCACTCATAACGCTGCAGCAGCAAGCATACTAGTGACGGTGCTTGACAGCCAACAACAAGACCAACAACCGCCAACACCAACACCAACAGCACCAGCACCAGCACCGGCACCGGCAGTGGCACTCACAAACGCCGTCGCCGCAGCCGCCATCATCACCATCATCATCGTCAATGCTGACAGAAATAACGATGGATTAACAGCCTGATAGTTCTGTCGCCATACCAACAGTAGTTTCATGCTGCTAACTTATGGTAGCATGGCCAAATGGTTGAGAGCCAGGAAGACCAATTGGCGCACTCACTGCCGGAGTGGCCGGTTGACCCATGAGCTTGCAGCTAGCAAGAACAGAAACAGCTAGCCGCTAGCCCCTCACAGCCTTTGCAAGCAACTGCAGCCCCAGAACCAACATCCCTCTAACCCGAAACAACCCGAGACAAACCTTTATGCTTCGGCCTTGAGCCCTGCGGTTGCATACCTCCTTTCTGCCCTCTGCAGGTCGGGCCGCATCATCCAGCATGACGAGCGTGTCCCATCCAGTCAGATTCCATACCGCGAGCCTCAGGCATGCTCTCTACATAAACACCCCAACCCCACATCCCCAAATTTATTCACGGCGGGAGATGTACATCGACCTGACAGCTAAAATGTTCAAGCATCTGCACTGAACGTTCGCAACCCTCAGCACCGCACCCAGACCTTGAAGCCAATCCTTGAACCTGTATCCTGAGCCCCTAACCATGGACAGCAACTGTGTAAGCGGGGATGAACAATTGGAAGATGGCTTTGGGACCATCCTATATATAAAGTCAAACTGGAGGACTCTAGGAAATGGAATTATGGTATCCTGTTTTATGCCTCTAGATTACAACATTAGCCCCCAAGGAGACCCAGCCGCTGCCCCATGGTAGGAGTCAGCCCGCGGCCTGCGGTGGAAGGCCCCGAGATCACGGTGGGACAGACTTTTGGGCTGTACTGTAGCGTCTGCGAGGCTGAAGGATTTAGGGTTTCACGGTCTAGAGGTCGGGGGTTGGCAATTCTGGTTCCTTTGGCTTTTCGGCTCGTGCATGGCATGCCCGGAGGGGCAACTGCAGCAGCGGAAGCAAGGCTCTACTACTGTGGCGGTCTAGGGGTTTTATTCAGGGTTAAGGCCGGCGGTTGAGGATTTTAGGGTACAGGGGTAAGAGCACAAGATGGCTGTACACCGACCAACGGAGAGCCTGATCCATGCGCCAATATTGCTCTTCACAGGCTGCTGTCCGCCTACCACCCAAACCCGCGTGCCAATTGCGTGTCCTTGTAAGTTTAAACATTCCGAAACTGACAGCTTGGGAACTTGTGTTGCTGCGCGTTTGGGACATAAGGGTTCCGACAGACTTAGTTTAACCTCCAAGTTGAAGTGCTTTGGGCAAGGGCTCAGATTGAAAGCATCAGGGGCCAACACGTAAACCAATCTGTTGTTACAATGCTTTATAATCTCTCTCTTGTCGCTGGTATAGTACACTAGTCTTAAGCATTACTTGCGCAGAAACTCTAAACACTGACTCCGACACTCTTACGCCTCCCTGACAGGAGCCTGAGAACCAGCTCAGCTTCCATTCGAAGTCTTGCGGCACCTGCCGGCTTTGCAAAGTTTTTCTACGGAACAGGGGCTGCTGCAACCAGGATCGTCAAAAGGGATCTAGTCAGTAATGATTTGTAGCCATGCACGGCAAGCTGTAGCCATATACGTGTTCACCAGCCGCTAGCCATCACAAGAACGGACTGACACTATAACAGATGTTAAGGGCCAAGCAAGGAAAAGGCCCACCTGCATCAGCAGCTGTGAAGCATCGAAGTACCTGTCCAAAACTTGACGAAGGAAATTCCGTCGTCTGACGGCTGAGCACAATTTGCCCAGGCTGTCATGCATCATCCAGCACATGATCACGAGCATCGTCTTCGCCGTGTCGTCGCTACAATCATCACCACAGGTCATGCCATCCTTGTGCCATCTGCATCATCACCAGCACACTCAGAAACATTTACTGAACAGCTGTTCTCAATCATGACTACCTGATTGCTGACGACCAAACCCCGACTGCAACTTCAACTGGGCAAAAAGTCCCAAGCTTCTACACCGTAGCACAAGGTCCCTGATGATTACAGAAGGCTCTCGGTGTCCCAAAACCCGAAAAAAAAGGCACTCGATGAGCAATCCGTCGGCCAGGAGCTCTCGAAGAATGAAATCCGGGATACTGGCCTCCAGGGGAATGCTGCAACAACACATGGCAGCAAGCTTGTAGAACAAGCAACAGCAACAACAGCAACAGCCACCATAACATCAGCTACGACAGGACTCGGGCACCTCCAAAAACAACAAAAAACAACAACGTGATTTTAAGCACCACACGAACGATGGAGCAAACAGGCAACTGTGGAGCTGCACCTCGGTAAGCACCACGAAAGGGCGTGAGTGCCAGGAGTGCCGGCGCACTGAGTGCGCCAGGGTGCGGATGAGTTCGGCGTGGAGGGCCACCTCTGGGACTGAAGGAGTTTAGAGTTTGGCCTTCTGGGCGAAAGGGCTTGTGCGTGTATGGGCTTGGGGTGTTTTGGGGTTTGGGGCCGGTTTGGGGTTCTCGAGGGCTTTCCGGGCCCGGCGGGCTTAGGGTTGGGCGGCCGCAGGGGTCCGTCCATGCTTAATCCCCGCCCACAAAAGTCCCACTTGAGACAAACCGAGACTCAAACCCTGAAGCGCATTGAAGTTGACCCAGTCCCGAAAATCCCCAAACTCTGAAAACCTGAAACCCTAAACTCCCCAAACCCTCCAAAAAGAACCTGGCTCTCTGGTACTTCCGGGCCGGCAAAGAGCGTGCAAACCCACGCCTGCTCAAAGGCTCTCTTGGTTCCTTTAAGGGCGACTGGAATGGTAATTCATCCAAGAGTACCATAAGATTCTTGGGGTTTTGAAGGTTTGTGGATGTGGAGCCAGGGTTTCGGTTTAGAGTTTTGGGCTGGGGTTTAGGATTTAGGGCGTGGCTGTCTGCAGGGTAGGGTAGGGATAATGCCGAGGGGTTGAGGAACGCCAACAGGCAAGCGCGTTCTTTAGTCGTCTTCCTACAGGTCGATATCGGGGGAGGTTGTGCTCGGCAACACCTCGTGGTTTGGGAGCTTTCGACGGCTATAGCGGAGGCATTGCAAGAGCCCGTCCCGGCCACGTTGACTCCTTGGCGCTGCTTGACTTGCTCTTTGACGGTCTCTTCGACTTGCTCTCTCAAATCCCCTCGCCCCTGGTCTTCGACGTTTGTTGCAGCCAAAGGTGCAACCGCTTCTTGTGCCTATTTCGGCCGAGAAGCAAGCCCGAAAACCACTTACCAGTAGCACTCAAAGCTCTGGAACCTGAACTGAAGTTTTGAAGCCCCGAACACCGTGAAGCGAGCCTGAACACTGCGCTTGATTCGGAATAGTATCCCAGCAGTAGGGCCCTCCAAGCAAACCACATTGCCAATTGCCTACTATCTCGAAGCATTAGCGCGGTTGTGGTTTGGGAGAGACGACTGCTGGTACTATAGAACATGTTCATCAAGGTTTACACAAAGTCGGACAAGATAAGTAAGACACAACTTCGCTCCGAGTCATTCCCATACGGTTTTTACATTCGCTGTCTGTAGGCCATATAGCACCAAGTGCCTGCATTCGTTAGATTGTAGAAGCCCTCGGGCCTGATTGCGAAGCCCAGTGGAGTCTCCCGGGACACGGCAATTGACAGGTGCATGCAGTGCTCCACTAAAGTAGGCCACCAAGGCTTACACCCAAAACCTTCAAACCCAAAATCCGTCCATCTAGGACCCACCATACTTATGGACCCCCCGCTAAACCAACTTAACAGAAAGCCTACCAGACCCGGAAACTCTAAATCCTCACGACCATCCCCGGGCCTGCTTCTGACCTGGTTTGGGAGGCTTGGGCGCCCCAGTCGGGGCTCTCAGGTGCTCATGCTGGAGCGATTCCTTGTTGGAAGATCGGCACAGTCGAAGTGTTTTGGGAGAGCATCCAGTTGTTTCGGGTATACGGTGACATGAGCCATACGCTCCGGTTGCACCAGGGAGGTAAAACGTGTGCGAAGTCAACTGCTGTGGGACCTGGAAGTGGAACGGAAAAGGCAAATTCTTGCTGGTGGGACACTCAAGTCTCATAGCTCAGCTGGGACTCAAAATCCTTCAGGAAGTCAGTTTCCAGCAGCCATTCACCCTGCCAACGCGACCCATGCGCTGCCGGGCAGATCGTGGAGCTTCGCTTTGAACTTAACGTTCCTTCCGCAGTGTCGGGTAGGACATACAGCCAGCCTTCCAGGAGATTTTGAAGCTCCATGAGGTCTTTAAACATATGCCGGCCTTCTGGCAACAGGCTCAAGCCCAAAAAGAGGTTTTGCGATTTCATGCACTCGTTCACACCAGGAACTAATGGTAGCACGCTGTGCACCAGCACCTGTGCACGGCCAACCAGCGTCTCAATCGCATCAATAGCTTGGCTCTTCGTGGAGCCCGCCAGCATGAGGGCCTGCCTGTATATGGTTTCTGCAGTCTAGCTCAGGGAAGTGGGTCTGTAGGGTTGAGATTGAGAGTTTTGCCTCTCACAACTCGGACAAGCCAGATGAGGTAGCTCATGAGACTTAGGGTTTGCAGTTTCGGGCCGATGGGGACCTGGCTACATCACCTGAAGCAGGCTTTGGCTCAACATAAACCCGAAGCAGTGAAGTCCTAAACCAGTGTGGTTGAGGTGTTTTGGCGTTCACCGATGCGCCTCACCAGCACCGATGCCAGCAGTAACGGGCAACTCTGCTCCGTGGGACGGAATCCCAGAAGCTCGCAGAAGCTTTCCTGAGCTGTCTAGGGTTTAGGGCCAGTTTCAGGTCAGATGAGCCCCCTTTGTCATAGCAACTGTTAGCTACAGCAGCAAAACAGAAACCAGCTACTTGTCGGAGCTACAGTAAACACTGGAAATGCAGCGTTCCAGAGTCTTCTTGGAAAGCCGACAGATGCATCCCCACAAGCGCCTTAAAACAACTCTCAGGCTCAGGCTCGCCATACGAAACTCAAAACTTCGAGCCCCCATGCGCCCCTTAAGCCTTACAATATATTATAATGTAACATAAGATAATATAATATAACATAACAGAATATAATACAACATAATATAACATGGTATGATATGATATAATATAAGATAATACAACATAATCTAATCTTACAGGCGTAAGTTGGTCAGCCGAGCTTCGGCGGCCACCCAGGTCCGGCCATGGATTTTCCATTCCGCTGGGGCTTGTTCGACCTGTGCTGCAAAGATGCCATCAAGGTGGCCTTCGTGCAGTCCATCATGAAGCACCTCGTCTTGAAACTGGGGTGTTCGAGGGTTTCTCGGTGTAGAAGGAGGGATTCTTTCTAGCTCGCCGAAAATGGGAGGCGATTTTAAAACCGAGCTGCCTGTACAGAAAGGCGAAAAATCGATCCAAAGATCGGCCAGCTGGAAAGCAGGAGCTCAGGCCAGTGGGAGACCTTCGTCATAAGGACATAGGGATCCATGTGGGAGCAAACGCTGACCGTGTTCACAAAGGAGGCAACTCTGGAGGGTATGTTCACGGAGGATGTTACGCGCATCAGGTTCAAAGCAGTCAGCGCACCCAGCGGGCACACTTGGAGTAGCTCACTGCAGGATCCGCAGGTGCACCAGCACCTGGACAGATCCCACGCAAGCGCTGACATCTCTTCCTGCTCTTCCGAAGTTGGGGCATCCGAGGCCACATAGCTCCGAAAAACGCTGCGACCTTTGGACCAAGGCAGATCTTCTCCAGGCAAGCCATAGTTCGCGCCTGTGCTCTCGCAAGATCTGGGGTAAGCAGTGCCGGACCAATAGGTCTCCCGGCGTACACCCTCGTGTGAGAGCAGAAGTGAGTCCAGATAGCCAGGCCCAAGGCTCAGGTCCTGCGGAGGGGGCGGACGCCCGGGACCCCGGCCTTCCACCAGTGTCAGTAGCAGCACCGCGCAAATGCTCATCGCCCATTCTGACTATGCATCTAAGGCTAAGGGTAGCCCGTCGGATTCTGCTACCGCTGCTGTTCGATTCTTCTTGTTCCTCGTGTGCAAGTGGCTTTCTTCATTGAGCTACCGCTCGCCAATACTACTCAACTCAACGTTGCTGCTGTCTTGCGGCTCCCAAGACCATGTACATCGTCCAACATGTATACATCTTCAGATATTTTGGATCCCCATATCGACCCTGCGCATCCAGGCCTGCTCAAACTGCCGGGTAACACACCGCAAGGCCTACACCCTCAAACCCTGTACCCCCAAAACAACCTTGAAATGCAGCCACTTACGGGCTGTAGTTAGTGTCGCCATTTTGGTGAATTGTTTACGCCAATGTCTGTGAGTCAATGGTTCAGGGTTTGCATAGGGAATTGAAGGCTAGGCTTCAGATGCCATGCGACAAAATTCACGTCTGGCTCCAGCACCACAAGCCCAAGTAATCACATCAGGTCCACTACAGAGGATGACTGACGGTTGGCGTGAATGATTCGTGCCTTGCCTGCCGGCAGCAACACTCATCCCTGGACCCTGGACTTGAGTGGTCTTCCCCAAAATAAGCAAAGGGCGGACTGCATTTTCACCGCAGCTGGGCACACCTGCAGCATCAAAACCCCAAACCTTGAAGCCCTCCCCTACTCCAAGCTTCTTACACCCTTGTTCCTATGACAATGATACCGTGCACGCTTATTGTCCAGCTGGATGCGATAGACTTTCCCTTGCTGCTGGTTTATTACAATGATTCATGCATAGAAAAACCGCAGAGCCCAAGAGATCTGAATCGCCACCACCACAAGGGAAAAAGCCACAAGCCCCATAATCTGGAAAGGAAACGCACCCTTCCCTTGCAGGGATGATGGCTCCTTCCCTTAAACTTCAGGTGTAGAGTCTCTGTAAGGACTCATCGGCTTTGTTGCTCTCGGTACGAGCAGCTTCACCTCAGAAAGTGCCCAGGGGAGCGGCAGCAGACTTCCGAAAAGCAGTGCAAAACCCTAATACCCTGAGGCCCAAAACCACAGGAAGACGGCCCAGGACCGATATTCTCCAGAAGTTGGGGATTTCTAGGCTCGTCCCGAAATCACTTCAGTTGAGGCGGTTGGGTTTGCGGGCGGCTGGGAGCCAAATATCGAAGCTCCGAATGAATCCCCGTAGCCCAAACCACGAACCAAACGATCAACTTCCTGCAGCCCAGGCGTCGTAGGTCCGCCATGCAGATCCAGCGCTTCCCGTCATCGGGGCGCAGGGCAGCCCTTGAGGCTGCACGGATCACGGCGTTCCTTGTGCTCGTGTTTTTTGAAAGGGGGGATGTGGAAAGTTGGAATGGATTCAAAGCCTCACTAATTGCTCTTGCACCTGCAACCTCCAGCTGCTGTCTCTGTGTCTGTTTGCCACCTCTCAAAGCAAAACTCGGAACCCTTAGCCTTGAACCCTCCAAAGCAAGCCCAAAGAAGGTCACGGTGCTGGATGTCGCCGCCGGCGAACTTCTCGAACTCTGAGGCCAAAGCCTGGCAAGCTTGGCTCTTAGAGTCTTAGTAAGATCATGCGCAGAGTCACCCCTGCCAGGCTCCTGTGGTGCTCTGTATACGATCAGATTCCTGAGTGGTCGCCATAAACCCAGCAAAAAGGCTTCAGGCAAACCACCTCAAACGACTCTTCAAACCACTTCCCGCGAAGTTACACTCTGGGTCAACACGATCTTTTTGAAGTTCTGAGAGTCTGCAGACCTTGAGACAAACGAACATCGGTAATCTTGCTTCCTACCACCACCGACTTTCGTCCCTGCATGGCCTGGAAGTCCACATCCGAGGCCCGCGGAGCCTGCAGGGCATCTCAGGCTGTATGCATAATGTACTCATATCATGTGGACTATATAACAGGATAATAATGCTCAAAGGGATCTATAATATCTTGATGATATCAGGTGGCTGGCTAACTGTTTACCCAGAGTACAGTATGTACGGCAAAGATTGCAAGGTCCTGAATTTGAGGCTGGGGGTTCACTTCTTTTTTGAAGTACGTGGGTGTTTTGTCGGGCTTCGACTCTTTATGAGCGACTCATTGCACTCACAAAACTTGGGGTCTGATCAGAGCCTGATCACAAAAACGCGGATGCAAGAGTCTGTGGCGATGGGCTCTATGGCAGCTTTGTGCACTGGTTCGAGGTCGTGGGCCAGGATTGTGGAAACGCAAAATCAAACCCGCATCACACCCAGGCATTGGGGTCTGAGACATCAGGACACCGCCCTCTAATTGGGCTCCAGAGCAAGCTCCGCCTGCAAAACCCAAAAACAGAAACTCAACTAAATGGACCCCTCTATGCTCCTTGCCTGCTTCGGCAAGCTGGACTCCCACAGCTTTGCTCCTTGGTGCATCGTGCGTGCAAGTAGAGACAGACCCTACAAACCCCTATAGAGCTCATGCCAGAGGACCTTGTGTTGAAGCAGGGCTCCATAGCTATGCCAGAGAACCTAAATCCCGAAACCTTTTCTCAAACACTGTCCCACTTGCAACTGCTGAGGGCCAGGCTGGTCGCCCGGTCCGGCTGTGGAAATCTTAGCAGCAGGACCACGCCACTGGGGTGGCTAAGGAATGGCAGCCGGATTCGAGCTGTGCTTTTCTGTGAAGGGTATAGCTGGGTAGGAAAGAGACATGGCTCCTAAATCTACAAGTGACAAATGGGGCATTTCCCACAGATCACCGTATTTCCGTCTGGATCAACTAGTATGGGCCAGATGCAGAATGTTCCGATCTAGGCGCTGGTTTCGACCAAGCACAGCCTCAACCTGTCATTGGCATGCCTCGCTTTACACTGACAGAACGAGGGCAACAAAACGAAGACCCGAAATTCGAGTGCTTTTGATCTACCCCGCAGCTAAGGAGCTCGACCATGAATCGGAAACGGCGGAAGAACGCCGAATCAATTGCATCTTTGGCATTCGTGGTCAAGATGCAGAGGCCTGGTCAGGTTTCCTCTCAAGATTTCGACCTTTCGGTTTAAGGATCTGCCGCCTGGCAAGGGGGCAGCAACCTTGTGCAAGCAATTTTGTCAAGCCCTGCCTGGGTAGTGCTCCAGCCAGTAGAGCCTGAAAGGCTGGAACCGTAGACCCTACACTTCCCGCGCCCGATGCAACTCCTAAGACACATTAAATTATGCAGTTACGAACACCAGAAGTCCGTTTGCCTTCCGAAATCGTCCGCTGTCAACCCTAATCCAAATGTAAAGCGGTTCTCCGGCTTCTATGTCTTCAAACTAATCATGCCGTTGCAAAGGGCGAAAAGACAATCAGTGAGGTGTAGGCAGAGTTGACATTTTTCGGAAGGGCATGAGGCAGGGGCTCTCTGAGTCATGTCAAGCGAGTGAGCAGACAAACTGCAAAAGATAAAGCTCTCTGTCTGAAGTGTGTACAACGTGCAAGCACAGCATTTTGGACACCCATTCTAAACATCTGTTCGAGGCTGGGAGGGTCGTCATCTGTCAAGCTGTCCAAGAACCCAACCCCTTAAATCTCTTGAATCTCCTGGCATAATAGCACGACGAGTCCGATACCTCAAATCTTGCTGATTTAACCCGGAACCGCCCATCTGGCAAACTCTGCGACCAAGGATCAGCAAACCCGAATCGAGATTGGCGTGCTTGTCCTTTGCGTTTGCGGTTTTGCAAACGGCTTCGAGATTCGGGATGAATGTCGGGGCATCACGGCGCTCACTGCAAATTATAGCAGCTCCTGTCCTATTGCAGACCGCGGGCCGTCATCTCTGAAACACACTCAGCTAAGCCTGACACGGCACATCCCAAACCCTGGAAACTCAAGTCCCAACACCTCGACCCCAGGAATTGCTAGAACTGCTAGAAAATTAGCTACATACGGGCACTCGACTCAGCAGGTTAAGCGCCCCAACTGCGTTGCAATCACAGAAAGAAGAGCAAGCATTTCCAACCAATGCCTGGCCACTACACTACTGGAGGCATCTGCGTTGCGCCGGCCAAACAGGCCCTCTGCCTGACGAAACAGAGAGGGAATGAATCAGCATCGCCGACTCAGCAATGCAAACGCCTTCATGGCATGAACCGGTGCAATCACTTCCCACAAAGACTTCCAATGAATGCATATCTACTGCCCAGCAGCTGCGCACCCCCTGATCCCGAAAACTCGACTCAGCACTTGCGAAAGCTTGCCAGACACAAAACCTCGACAACAACAACGAGTCCAATGCCTCGTCGAAAACGAGGATGGCTTCCATGGCTCGCGCCTGAGGTGTACATTCCTACTGCATGTAAGATGTAAGAATGTAAGACTCTTCCCCAAATGCATGGGATTAGCTCTGTTCCACCCTTCCGGACCGCAGCTGTAGCTGCCTCGGCAAACACCTTCTCGATGTTCTTGCCAGTTTCCCCGACATACTTGTCCACCTCATGTTCGCGATTTGGAAATACAATTTTCGGATTTGTCACATCCTCGACAAACTGCTCCACAGCCAAGCAACGACATTTGCAGCGTTGACGACCTTCAGTGCTCGGCCCACCTCGGAGCAGCAGGTTCCCACAACCAAAGCGCGAGAGGCAGCACGACGACCTCCCAATCGTACGCCTTTCAAGCACCGGATCTAACACCAAAAACAACCCACCTCAAGTTGGAGCTTCACTACGGCCAACATGATCCCGAGAACCCAACTTGCACACTCCAGACTCGCAAGAATGTTCCGATCTCGAAAACCTAGACTCTGGACTTTAGACCTTTGCCGGAATTCCAAATACATCCCAAAACACGCACCCAAAAACCTCTTTCAAAAGCTCCCAACTCCAGTTCATGCGAAGCCCCGCCCACCTCAAAGCCAATGGCCTGCGCGGCCAGAGACTTTCCAGTTCCTGGTGGCCCATAGAAGAGCCTCAGCGAAGATGTCAGGTTCGGGTTCGACGAGTCAGGAACCATCATAAGGGTGCCAGTTTAGCTCTCCTGGTTGTCGGTTTAGGGCTTAAGGTCCAATGGCACTCCTTCTCTATCCTTTGGCGCCTCGCGGAGAACGCTACATCATGTCTCCAAAATCCCTCACCGGCTGCATCCTCTGGGAGAGCAGGATGCTTGGAGGAACCTCGTTTTGCGATGGCTTAACATGAAACACCCGCACAAAATATGTTTCCTTAACGATTTGGGAGTGCTGTAGCACGTTTTGGTTGAACATCTTTAAAAACTTTTTCGACTTTTTTAAACAGAAAACATTTGTACAGGATTGGGGATGCCAATGGCCACAATCTCGTTTGCTGCGGGCTGCTGTCGCCTGCTCCAGCTTTAAACCCCGAACCCTGCGATCGTGGTATCGGCGGTGGAGCTCATGCAGTTCATCCAGTCCCGCGGAAAGCGGACTTAACCAGCAGGTCCTGAAACTCAAATGTAGACTGCAAGCTATGGATTGTAGGTTGTAGCTTAAGCGCCTAGAAGTGCTCCATGGTCTCAATCAATACCCAATAGGCCCCCTGTGTAGCACACCACCATTCCCATCCTTTCTCGAAGCCCGAGAATCCAAACCTTTCTGAAGTCCCCTGCGGGTCTCGTGTAGAGGCCATGCAACTAGAAAAGGGGACCCCAAGATTTGGGACTTGCAAGTTCGCAACGGAAGCACGCAGATTCCGACTGTTTCCCCTGACGGAGTGCACCTGACTTACAATAACCTGAACGTGCAGTGCAATTTGCAAGCTCATCATCCTACTTGGGGTGAGGATTTGGGCTTCACGAATTCAAATCATAAACCCTGATGCTGTTGCCAGTCCTGTGGGTTTGCCAAGGAGCACGCAAGAACCGATTTCCGGCTGGCCTCCACTGAAGGCAGTGCGTCCCCCGAAGCCCCACTGCCCGTAGAGGACGGTCCTTAAAACAGCTGGTCAGACCACAGAGAAAGTAAGCGTACTCGCCACGCTATCGGGGTCGCGAGGCGATCTGTACGCTTTCCGTCATTCGGCATCCATCTGTCTGAAGTAGTCAAGACATGAAGTTCAGGCCAAAGTCAGCAAGCGCCCAGCGCACAGGATTCACTTTATAATTCTTATGTCTGGATGTGCGCGCAAACTGTATCTTAGAAGCCACTACTATGCTAGTAACTAGTACCTCGTATCATTCTTATCATTCTTCTTACTACTACTACTACTACTACTACGACGACTACTACTACTACTACTACGACGACGACGACGACGACGACTACGACTACGACTACGACTACGACAACAACAACAACAACAACTACTACTACTACTACTACTACTAGTACTACTACTACTGCTACTACTCGACTACTACGGCCAGTTTAATTTGTTTTAAACAGTAATTGTAGCCCTGCCGCATACGAACTGTGTTTTTGTTCAGACCTTGTTTTTTTTGATCTTTGTGGTTTAATTGTTTGATCCTCATTTTTTGTTTGATCCGTCACCCAGCTGCAAAACAGTTCTGCCTCATCCAGCCAGGGCCGTTGGAGAAGCAGGTGCAGACCAAGTTTTCGGGCAACTTGTCACTCAAGACGTACGTTGCGTCGCACTAGCTTTTACGTGATTCTGCCTGAGCCAAGGCCACGAGAAGATTCCTTCTTCGAAAGCGATCAAAAACTCACCTTCGATGGTTTCAAGGTTGGCAAACATTGGCTAATCAATACGCTCCCACCATTGAATACCCTTTGCAGTAACTGTTATTTCGGGGAGCATGCTGGCCGGAATGCACCGAAGAGTTTAAAAGGGCCAAGAGTCAAGAGTGCAGTGCAGAGGGTTGGGGACCCATAACCAACCACGGAACCTGTGTCGAAGCTCTCTCAGTTCGGTCCCGGTCTGCGCGGCATTGGGCCAACGTTCATGGGGACTCAGACCCCTTGTTAAGGCCGGGCTACGACACCTGCACAGCTGCGGACTTCTAGGTTTCCCATCAGCAACCCTGAACCCGGATTGCAAAAAGGGGGTTGCCCGGCCGGATGCTATTGTCTTTCAGCCTCGTCCTTCTGGGCACAGCGCAGATTGAAAGCAGCCCACCTGCAGGGTGAAAACCCTCCCCTGGCTCTTTTCCTCCGGGCGGTCAAAGTCGCAGGCGGACCAACATGAAATCCTAGGCCGGGTACCCTTGCAATTGCACTTCTCGGAAGTGCCACCTGGACCAGTTGATTCTGCAGCGGTCGCAGGTATGCCGCATCATGTGGTTGGGCCCGTAACGCGAGCACGGCCGTCAACACCCTTGGCACCGGATTCCAGATTGTGTGCAGCAACACTAGTGCCGATTAGCTTGCGTCTGGGCAAGCTGCTGGGTGACACCGCTCACTCTTCCAGTCTTTGATTTGCCATGGCTGTGCAACGGGATGCACTGGGTCTGCTCTCCCGGAAAGGAGCTTCAGGCAAATAAGCATGACACCGCACAAAAACCAAGACACACCAGGCTGCTGTTTGTTCCTGGCTTGGCTTTCTTGTAGTGACTTGGTCCTGTCTTCCCTGGCTTGTCTTTCGTTAAGCTTCAGTTCAGCTCCTGCAACCGACTGTCACAACGTGCTGCGTCTGCGGTCCTTGCATAGCCACGAGTAGAGGAGGTAACGCTCTCCATGTTTCCCACTAGTATGTCTTTGTCCTCTCTCAAAGTGTTAGGGTGGGAAACCCTATCCCCGAGCTGGTCTCCTCACTGAAATGCTCCTCGCTCTCCATATCGCGGTGCTTCCTTCCCGGGCCCTCCACCTCCTTCCTTCATCTGGACATTGTTTTCTTGGGCAGATGTATTTTTTTTTTTTTGGGGGGGGG